TTTAAAAAGAAGAAGAAGAAGAAGAAAGCCCTGGGCTAGAGACTTTAAAAAATGAAAGCAGAAAATTCAGAGAAACTAGGAGACCATAGCAATAGATTATAACATTACAGCGCTATAGTGCAATGGCAGTTGCCACTTTCCTAGGAAGCCCTCCAGTGGCACAGCAGGAGAAAAGGTTTCCCTTGCTCAAAAGCCAGTCAATCAGACTCTAGGGGGCGGTGCTCATCTCCATTTCCAAGCCGAAGAGCCAGCCCTGTCCGAAGATGTTTCCATGGTCATGTGGCCGGCATGACTAGATGTTGAGGCACACAGAACGCTGTTACCTTCCCACCAAAGTGGTACCTATTTATCTACTTGCAATTCCTTGCTTTCGAACTGCTAGGTTGGCAGGAGCTTGAACCAGAGATGAGAGCTCGCTCCGTCATGTGGCACTCGGGTCTCGAACTGCTGAACTACCGACTTTCCAGTCTGCAGGTCAGCGTCTTAACCACTGAGCCACCGCAGCCCCGGCAGGAGAAAAGTGCAGGGTAAATCACAGCTGACAGAGCAGAAAACTCCATGCGGTCACTCTACTGCCAGTGTGAACGCCCCTACATTCGTGGTTGTAATAACAGGGAACAGAGAATCCTTGCCATGCGGATGCCTCCATTATCTGTCCTATATGAGCACTTCTGCCTCATGTCTTATGCTGTGACTGTGGGTTGTATATCTGGGGAACAAATAAAGTAAGTAAGTACATGAAATCAAGTAAAATACCCTCCCTTTGGGGGGGGGGGGCGGCAGGGCAATTGCACTGAGGGCAAAAATAGGGGCAGGCGTTGTCCTCTCTACCCCTCCTATGGGCCTGTTTCTTCCTGTGTTATTTTCTCTGTTCCACACGTTTTGCTCCCTCTAATGGTCAATTTGATATTATACCAGTTCGCGTCCTGCATATGTCCCTGCAGATTTAAACTGCACGTTTTAATGCCGGACGTAAACTGGTGTAATCTTGAATCGACCACTAGAGGGAGCAAAACAAATGCAGACAGCCCCCTCCCCCCCCCAAAGAAACAGGAACTTACAAGCGAGGAAAATGAGAGAGCAGAAAAGCCCATAGGTCCAGTCCAGCAGGGTTGCTCTTATAATATTATTGCTGTTTATAAATTTTCTATTAGCAAATACAAAAAAACCACCCCATTAAACCCTCCCTCATCTGAACAGGGACAATGAGACAGTTTAAAGAGTTTCTGTACCATTGCAAGATTTCAAACATTGGAGATAGTTAATAATTTCTTGCATGCCTTCTAATAATTTAATTGGTTTTTCTCTGAGGGTTGTGTCCTCAGCAAACCTCGGAGCAATTCCCGTTGAAATAAGCAAAGGCTTGCTTGGGCGTTAATATTCACAGGAGTGGGCTGTTAATTTTATCCTGTGCGTCAATTCCATTGTAAAAGCTGTCTCTCCCACCTTAGTCATCCGTATATCAATCTTTGCCGTTAGCGGTTTCCATTATTTAGCTCGCCAGAAGTTTCAGAGCAGCCCCTAAATTAAGAATCCATTCAGGACCTCAGTACTTGGAATAGTTCTTTAAACATCTCAGGACAATCTGCTGAGGACTTGAATGCCATTGCTGCGTTCAAAATAACATACACTGCACAGTTTGGTGTAGTGGTTAGGAGCGCGGACTCTAATCTGGGAGAACCGGGTTTGATTCCCCACTCCTCCACATGCAGCTGCTGGTGTGACCTTGGGTCAGTCACAAGTTCTCTCAGAGCTGTTCTCAAGAGAGCTTTCAAGAGAGCTCTCTCGGCCCCACCTGCCTCACAGGGTGCCTGTTGTGGGGAGGGGAAGGGAATTATAAGCTGCTCTGAGACTCCTTCGGGTAGGGAAGGGCGGGGTGTAAATCCAATCTCTTCTTCTTCTACACATGTACAAGGGAGAATGACTGGACTTGCTGGCCTCACCCTTGGACAGATGCTGATACGGCTAAACATTTACAGAGAACAAACGTAGCATGTACAGAGGTGCCTCAGTGCAAATGGGAATTCTTCTCACACTCCTGTCAATGCGTTACCCATTGTGGACCCACACACTGTGTTATATATACTCATTTTAAAATTATCCTATAAATAAAAGAGTGTGTGAACAAAACGGTAGTCCAGATGGAATGGAGCTTGTTGTGGCTCCTTGGCTGAAAACTCAAACAGGCAAGACAAAAAGACTGCACACCTTGTTTCATCCACAAAGTGCAAAGGGCAGGCTGTTGCAGCCTCAATTTCCCTCGGGGCCATGTAAAGCGGAAGAGGGGTATAACCTTTCAACCTCACTTGAATTTGCTATTGGAAACCAGCTCCTGTGCTCTGATATTAGCATTTTAAAAGAGAAACTGCATGTTTTGATGGTCTTTTCTCCTTTGAAATGCTACTAGAAGGAGCAGTTTTGAATAGTGAAAAGGAATTTGAAGAAGAAGAAGAGATTGGGTTTATACCCCGCCGTTCACTTGGCATCTGAGAGTGGCTTACAGTTTCCTTTCCCTTCCCCTCCCCACAACAGACACCCTGTGAGGTAGGTGGGGCTGAGAGAGCTCTTTCGAGGACTGCTCTGAGAGAACTTGTGACTGACCCAAGGTCACACCAGCAGCTGCATGTGGAGGAGTGGGGAATCAAACCCAGGTCTCCCAGATTAGACCCCGTGCTCCTAACCACTACACCAAACTGGCTCTCAGTTCGAAGAGTTAAACTCCTTCTCCCTACCCTGCACGGCTCCAAGACAAATTGAGGCTGCAAGGGTCTGCAATTTGTCTTTTGTAGGCAGAATGAAATGCATGAACCTTGTCTCATCTGTTTGAGCCCTGAGGGTGCATGCATCTGTTTCTGACACCCCATGCAATCATGAATGCCTGAAGACAGCTTTGCTCTTCATTGTTCACACTTACTTACTTGGATATTTTTACCCCACCTCTCCACTGAATGTGGACTCAGTGGCTTATGAGAAAGCAATAACAAGCTATCAAACACAGGGACCAGTAAGCGATAAAGTAATCCACAAGGGAGGGAAAGGGGAGCAGAGCAAGCGGCAAAGGCTCTACCCCAATGGCAACAGTCATAGAATCATAGAGTTGGAAGGGACCTCCAGGGTCAACTAGTCCAACCCCTGCACAATGCAGGAAATTCACAAATACCTCCCCCCCCACACACTCCCAGTGACTGCTGTTCCACGCCCAGAAGATGACAAAAAACCCTCCAGGATCCCCAGCCAAACTGGCCTGGAGAAAATTGCTTCCCGACCCCAGTCTCTGCATCTCTTGCAGCCTCGATTTGTCTTGGAGCTGTGCAGGGAAGGGAGGGGGTGGTTAACTCTTCAACCTCCTCTCAAGTTTTACTGTTCAAAACTGGCTCCACACAGGGAAAGTAAGCATTTCTGGATGCTGAACTCCATGCCTTGGCCCAGTTTCTGTGCACAAGAACAGCAATCCTCTAATCACCAGTACGCAAATCCCGGGAGATATATCCTTTCCCTTCTTCACTATCTTTGCTCTTATTGACAAGGTGCTATGTATTGGGATTAAAGAATCCATGACTGAATCACCCTAGAGACTGGCTGAGCTTGGAGCACAAGAACAATAGCCGACCAGGACTCTGGTATAAAGAAATCAAGTAGTCATGTTTTGTAAATAGCCTATCACGGGGTGTGTGTGTGGGGGTGTGTGTGGTGTTTTGCATGCATATAAACAGGGCTCTGGCCCTGCTAAAGTTGTCTTAGAGTTTATTTTTTAGTTATTTATTTTATTAAATTTATACCCCGCCCTCCCCGCGAACAGGTTCAGGGCATCTTACATTGGTCGGTAAACAGTGACCATTACATCAACATAAAATCATTTAAATAGTTCAATTACAAGTAAAATCATAAAATCATAAAATTATAAAGTGCTGGACACGTCGTTAATTAGTTAAGGTGGCGTACTAAAATGCATACGTACATATACCATAGGCGTAAATTTCTTGGGGGCGTCGGGGCATCAGCCCCCCCCAATTTTCTGGAAGGTGCTCAGCCTCCCCCGGGGGCAACTGGTTCCAGCCACCCTTGCTCCACCCACACCACCCACAGCAATGCCTCTGGCCCAAGCCCAGCCTCCTCCGGGAAATTGGAAAGTCTACACCCTTAGCACACAGTATTTCAGCTCAATAATCTTCCTAGGCTGCGCGATGGCACAGGCCAGATGTTAACATTAAGGGCCAGGATCTATACTATGATTGTTGGTGGTGGTAGTGTTAGCCAAATTGCTCTATTATTTAATAAAGATGGGGAATTATAATTATTAATATGTAATTGGCTTAACTGTAGGATCAGTCCTGTGTATACCAGAGTTAGAATTCCCAAGAACCCAGGAATTGACACAGAAACTGGGTGGCTAAAAATAATGATTTCTTTACTAAATATTCTCAAGCATACAAACAATAATTAAACATTCCCACACACAATATATAACTAAGAAAGCAGAGGTGATTGATAGCTGATAGAGGGGGTGAGGTGTGGGGTGAGACTACCTGTCCAGATGTGCAGAGGTCCATGAAGATGAGATTATGGCCTAAACCCAGAGAGTCTAGGGGTGCTAACAGTAGTCAGGCGGCTCCTCAGTTGAAGGCCTGGCGGAAGAGCTCCGTCTTGCAAGCCCTGCGGAACTGTAAAAGGTCCTGCAGGGCCTGGATCTCCTCCGGGAGCTCGTTCCACCAGTATGGAGCCGCCACTGAGAAGGCCCTGGCCCTGGTGGTAGCAAGCCTGGCATCCTTGGGGCCTGAATGGGTCATTCGGTTTTGAGACCCCGACCGTAGTGCTCTCTGTGGTATATACGGGGGGCTGAAATCACTAATAAAGTATGAGCTGATCACTATACGAATCTCGAACCCAGTATATCTCACAAGGCCTGTGGAGCTTTTACACAGTTGAAAGGAGGGTCTTGTTCCAAAACAGGGCAGCAGGTTTCCCTCCCACGGAAGCAATTACTGTAACGGAAGACTCACCTCAAGCACAGGAAGAGGAGAAAGGCCACGACGAGCGCGCCGACGGATATGCAGTGCCCCAGGTAGTTGATGATCATGGCGACCTTGTAATGGAGGATGGGCTTCATCTGGGGGTCGCAAAGAGAGAAGGGGGAAAGTAAGACAATCGGGTCATCTCGAATCTATACGCAGGGGCATCAAGGGCGGCTCATCGGGTTAGGAAGCGGCAGCCGACGCTCAGCAAATTTACGCAATCGTAACAGGCACAAGTCTTCGGCATTTGTAGATCTGCCAGTTGCCACTGTCCAGGAACTGGAAACAGAGATAGATAGAGGTATCAAGAGATACATGCAGAGAGAGAGAGAGAGAGAGACAGGGAGAGGGAGGGAGAGAGAGAGAGAGAGAGAGAGAGAGAGAGAGAGAGAGAGAGAGAGAGAGAGAGAGAGAGAGAGAGAGAGAGAGAGAGAGAGAGAGAGAGAGAGAGAGAGAGAGAGAGAGAGAGAGAGAGAGAGAGAGAGAGAGAGAGAGAGAGAGAGAGAGAGAGAGAGAGAGAGAGAGAGAGAGAGAGAGAGAGAGAGAGAGAGAGAGAGAGAGAGAGAGAGAGAGAGAGAGAGAGAGAGAGAGAGAGAGAGAGAGAGAGAGAGAGAGAGAGAGAGAGAGAGAGAGAGAGAGAGAGAGAGAGAGAGAGAGAGAGAGAGAGAGAGAGAGAGAGAGAGAGAGAGAGAGAGAGAGAGAGAGAGAGAGAGAGAGAGAGAGAGAGAGAGAGAGAGAGAGAGAGAGAGAGAGAGAGAGAGAGAGAGAGAGAGAGAGAGAGAGACAGGGAGAGGGAGGGAGAGAGAGGGAGGGAGGGAGGGAAGGAGGGAGAGAGAGAGAGAGACTTTCATATCCGATGCTCAGAACAAATGAGATGAGTTATATATCTCTCAAGAAACACATGAGATGAGTTATATATTGTTGGAAATATGTGTGTTGCAAATTTTCTTCTCCCCCCAAAGGACCCAAAGCAGCTATTGATTTTATGGGAGAAGTGAGATTTGAACTGGGAACCTTCTGAATGGAAGCGTGCTCCCTTAGCCCCTGGGCTAAATTACAGCTTTGAGCAATACCTACTTAAAAGGCAGAACTTTCCTGAGTGTCAGATTTTTCTATCATTTCTTTCCCGTGCCAACCAAAGCCCCAGCTGCTGAGTTTTTGCTCGAGTGACTTAAAATGATAGACAGCATATACAGGGAGCCTTTCACACATGTTCTCACAGTAACCCTCACAACGACCTAGTAAGGTAGCCCAATGCAACCGTGCCTTTTATTGCAAATGGGGGCTGGCTGCGAGGCCCCATCTAAGGCCACCCACTGAGTTCACGGGAGAGACACGATCCAAACGAATCTTGGCTGACCCCAACTCAAGTCTCTTAGAAAATGCATGGAGGATTCCAGAAAGTGCAAGTCACCCGCAAGGGATGGATCCCCGGAGGGAACTGCACTTGCGTGACACCATTCTACCAGACCTCGGATTGGTAATTACAATTTTAATTCACAGTTAATTGTTAATTTGATTTTCTAATGCATGTTTAATGACTGTATGCATAAAAGTTAAAAAGGAAGACGTGAAAGCAACGGCGATGCGTTTGGTGTCTACTAAACAGTCTTCTGGAAAGGTCTTTGTTCTGCGTTTTGTAAATCAAATGGGAACGTTTTCAAGTCAAAAAACTGCTTTGTGGGGTGACTTGGTGATGGTTCCAGGTTGGGGGGGGAAAGAGAACCCCTAGCCCCCCCTAACACTAGCCCCCCCGCTTGTGGTTAAGTTTGGTGTAGTGGTTAAGTGCGCGGACTCTCATCTGGGAGAACGGGTTTGATTCCCCACTCCTCCACTCGCAGCTGCTGGATGACCTTGGGCAAGCCATAGTTCTGTCAGAGCAGTCCTTGAAAAAGAGCAGTTTCTGTCAGAGCTCCCTCAGCCCCACCTACCTCGCAGGGTGTCTGTTGTGGGGAGGGGGAGGGACCTCCTGATGGACCTCCTGATGGCACTGGTATTTCTGGCCACTGTGTGACACAGAGGGTGCGTTCAGACGCGGCGTTTCAGACGGCATAAATTGTATTGGTTGGAACCGGTGCAGTTTATGCCGACTGAAACGCGATCACACTCACCTCCATTTTGCGGATCCCATCGCTGTATGCCCGCTCACACGCTGCGGGCGTCGGCTTTTTTTAATTTAACTCAGTTTGAGCATGCGCATAGGCAGCCATTCACAGAATGGCGATCTTTGCGCATGCTCAAAACACCCCATATTACATTTAAACTTTAAAGGTAAGGACTTACCTTTAAAGTTTAAAGACCAAACTGGCCTTCCTGAAGTCCCGGACTCCTCCGAAACGCTACACTAAGGGCTTTTTTTTTTTTTTAAACAAACGCTCAGGGCGAAGCTTCGCCCAAGCGCATATTGCTTAGTTTAAAAAAAATGGCGGGGGAAAATCGGAAGCCTCAGGGTTCCGAAAGGGAGAGGCGCAA